CTATCTTGTTACTGTTTCTTGTACCCTATCAGCATTGCATTGACCAACCACAGAGTAAATTCTGAAGCAGATAGTCAAGGAAATAAATTTCTCAAAATGATAAGAGTTTGGCATTGGCTGTGGAATGTTATTTGGAATAATTCACATTGGTACCTGTTGGTGATATGTGAAACTATCAAAAAAATGTCCTGAATTGTGGCCAGCTACTGTGATTTTGGTTTAAAGAAAATTACCCCTGGACTTTCAGTACTCTCTCTACTGTGGTAAATGTTTCCTTCTAACGTTTCATTGCATGCCATTGAGACAGTGGTGCTATGAAAGACACACGAAAGCTTTGGTTTTAGTTTGTTTATATATGTAATGTAAAACCAGAGGCATGTGTAAAAAAGATTTTGGAAGCAAAACCATTAAATTCTGGAATAATAATGGATATACATAAAAAATGAGTTTTTGTGGTATACACAATCTCACTGCCATAGAGTTATTTCCAATTCTGTGCTTCTGAGACAGTGAATATTTTTTGGAATAGGCAGCTTCTTCTTTTGGTTTCAAACTGCTGGCCTGGCAGTTTTCAGTCCAATGTGTAACCCAACATACATATGTCCTTTATCTTTAAATGCTATTGCATAAAATTATTGGCTATGCTCCAATATAAAAACAGAAAAACTAAGATTTTTGGAAAAGGGCTTTCCAAAGTAGTGATTAGTATTAAATAATATAGCAACATTTCTAACCCTGAGTTCGTAATAATTGTCTGCTGGGACATTTCAACTGAATCTATAGCAATATTATCAATTAAAACTCAGCATTGCTCAGGATGATTTGCCCACATATCAGCTTCTCCTCTCAGCTTCTTTATTTTTGTCACTTGCACTGTTGACTTCATATTCCCTGTGTTTAAACCCTTGGCATTATCCTTGATTTATTTTACTTCTATATACCCTATCTTTGGTAGACAGATTAATAACACCTCCTCCAAAAGATATCTACATTCTAATTCCCAGAACTTATGTATATGTTGGGTCACATGGCAAGGAGAATATGGAGGTAAATAGAATTAAGGTACATAGAAATACCCAATCAACTGACCTTGTGTATGTGTGTGTGGGGGGGGTGTAACAGATCACCTTAAATACTATGACTAGATCAGATATAATCAATAACAACAAATAAACAGACAAGCCCACTGTCATTGAGTTGATGCCAACTCATAGCTCCTTTAAATATGAAAGAGGAGGAGAAAGAGTCCGTCACCATGCTACAGCTTCAGATACACTCAACAAACCATTGCAGACTCTGAGCATGGAAGAACCAAGGAATGCAGTCATCTTCTGGAAGCTGGGAGCAAAAAAATAAAAAGATATTTTCTTACAGCCTCAGTAGGAAAGCCGTTCTGCAGCCAATGCACAGAGTGGACCATATGGCTGATCCCACTATGAGACATGACATCCCTCACTGACCCATGGCCCTATGGGGGAAAACACTGGAGACACAGTCTTGGGATTGCCCCCATCTGACCCCACCACACCAAAGCAAAACTCTAAGGGCTTGCGGCAGAGCAATGGAGGGAGCAGAGCAGGGAGCTCCCTAGGGAGTGCAAAGGATAGATTTGGGGCCAGAGCATGGCATCCCATCAGACTCAACTGCAGGACATGCCTAGAGGTAAAAAATCTGACCTTGACCTATTTACAAGTTTTTCTTTATTATTATTTTTTAAATTAATTTGTTCTTTTCTTGGTCATTGATTTTCTTTGTTGTTGTCATCGTTGTGTTCTCTTTTGTCGCTTTTTCTTGCTATGCCTTATTTTTTTAGTGCATATTATTATCTCTGAATATCTAG